CATATGAAATTAAGGTTATTTTATCCTACCAACGCGCCACGATATTCTTACCTACGTGCTAATAACAGCATTAAAATAGGCAGAACATTTATTGCGTCTGGTTTTATTAGGCGCGTAACTTCTGATTTTACTATAGTAGAGCTCACAGATCTTGACTTCATGTCGACCAATGTTAATGCGATTCAGAATGTGCAAACAAGCACTTCCTCACTTGCTTCGGATCATCGCTCAGATATTGATTTGATTGCTGAAGATGTTGATTCTACTACCTCTCGAGCACCAAAAAGACCTCATATATTAGCACCAAGATCTTCTAAACAAGGTGCTAGCTCATCTCCTATTATCAATGAATCTGCCGCTTCTTCTTCGTCTTCGGTAACTCCCATTAATACTATCCCTGAGACAGTTCAGATTCAGAAAGGTAAAAAAAAATTGTCTGATTTGGCTTTGAATTGTCTTGAACAACCCACTATGGATGACACTCGTGATGAAGATGTCTATGCCGAAGATGTCTCGGTAGATGATGATGATTTGGAGTTACTGTGTCAACAAGATGTTGAAGAGCCTAAAAAAAAAAGAAACAGGAGATCTTCACAGAGAAATAGAAAATAATTCCCACATTTTTGTGAAACATGTACCTCTTAATAATTTCTTGAACAAATATGAATCTCTTGTATTATTTCGTTGTGTGGAAACAAGTCATATATATGTATTGTTTTGCTTATTTAATGCTTTACAAAAACTGTCAAAATTGAAATTGCTAAAAATAAGCAATTTAACGGTGCTGGTAATATACTATTAAAATACAAATTTTTGCAAATATAAGCACTTTATTGGCATTTTATTATTAAATTTTAATTTTATAAATATATCTGTCAATTATTATGCTAATAAAATTCTAATATTAGCGATATATTATCAATATTTTAGTAATAATAAAAGCCTAAAAATTACCATTGTTTAACTAATTTGTTAAATATTTAAAGGCGCTGATAATGAAATAATTTTGTAATAAATAATTAAGATTGCTTAGTACTAATAATGCACTATATCTTGCTTATAATTTGCAAATAATCGCGTATCTCGAAATTATTATATTTTTGTAAAGTAAATAGCTTTTAATTTACTTTTAAATATTGTTATTAATTATATCCGTGTCACGATTAAAGTGATCATTTTGATTTCATTATTCTTGATGTTTATGGTCTCAAATGAGTACCGCAGAGCGAAAAGTTGGAAGTGGATATTTAAGTTTTCACTATAGTCGGTTTAGCCCCTGATGAATTCTGATGTTACGTAATTAATCGTTCGTACGATCAGTTTTCTAGTCATTTTGATAGTATATATCACCTTTATATAGAAACGCAAATTATGCTCATCAGCTCTATTAATTAATCGATTTTTTATTACAAGAACACTGATTATCAATACGTAATGTTGCGATTCATTAGGGGTTAAACTCACCATAGTGAAAACTTAAATATTCACTTCCAGCTTTTCACTCTGCCGCACTCGAATCATATATGCTATTATATTTGTAAATCAAAATAACGCTATTATTCTACCAGTTAGCAGTTAGGTTCGCTATTGGGGTGAACACTGATGAAATCACGATGTGTATAATTTACGAGGTAATAAAAAAAAGGCGTACACCTATGAAATCTATTGTAATAAAATCGTTTCGTATTATGATCTATTAAGAAATCGTAAAACTACCTCTATTTTTTTCGTGATGTATTGGCATCGAAGTTAACATGCTTCTGGTTTAGCATAGTTACTGCCTAATTAATAACCGGTTCTCCACTTAAGAAAATATAATAATTTCGAGATACGCGATTATTTGCAAATTATAAGCAAGATATAGTGCATTATTAGTACTAAGCA